CGCCTGTCTCCGGGGTGGGCGTGCACCGGACCGCTTGCGCCGGTGGCTGTCCCCTCCGAGGGCCCCGGCCCCTGGGATTGCCGGTCCTGGACTTGTCCCCCGCCCGCCGTCCCAGATGCGGAGGGCGACCAGGAAAAAGGGACTGGGTCGGCTGATCGGCCCCCCATTTCCGCGCGCACAACCGGCCCATGCTTCTTTGTCCCCCCCTTCCTGGTCTGCGCCCTACTGGGCGACGCTCGCGGCGCGGAAAAGCCATTTTCCCGCATGGGCCCGGTCGTCCAGCCGCGAGACGCCCACCGGTCTGCCCGGGCCCCGCGCCCGCCCTCTCACGCGATGGTCTGTTCCGCTTGGCGCATTTTTCCCCGTTGCGTTTGTGGCGGGGGGCGGGCGCGCGGGCAGGCAGCTCTCAGAGTGTGGCGGCGCCGGAGCTGGGCGCCCAGGGGAGAATAGTGCCGAGACTCGAACAGCCACCCCCCGTGGGCCGGCAATCCGCCGGGAACAGGCAAAATCCCCCCGCCGCACATAGAATGCCCGGTGTCACCGGCGACCGGAGAGCCGCGAGAGTTTGCCGTCATATTTCCTGGGCGTCTCCTGCGAGTCGGCCAAACGCATCTGCCCACCGGCCGGCCGACATGCCTGTGTTATGTTGCTTGGCCCCTCTCATCGGCCGAGTCATCCTCGGCCTTGTGCCCTGCGCGCCCCCGGTGCATGACTTTTGCCCCGGGTCCACGCCTGGGCACCAGGTGGTGCTGGGGCTTCCGAGACCTCCGAAGCGCTGCTCCGTCGCCGGTCGCCCCTGCCGTCCCACTGCCTGGAGTGCCATTGTGCGCGGTGTGCTCATGCCAAGGCCGGGGCGTGTGTGCGCGTGTGGGTATCTCTTCCAACGTCGCGCGCCGGGGACACACACACCCACCCGCGGTAGCATGCCGCCACCCGGGGGAAGGGGCTCTGCCGTCCGGGGAGCATGGTGCCCGGCTGGCGCCTCTTGTTGGCGCCCATGCGAGCCGGCTCACGCACCGGAGGGAGGTCTTGTCATGCACGGCCGCCTGTGAGTTTCCCCTGGTGCTTGGGTCAGGGGAGGGTCGAGAGGCAGGGGGGGGGGGGTGGGCCAGGCTGGGAGAAGGGGCCTGGCCGGGGCACGGCGGCCTGCCCGAACCACCAATCCTCCCCCCCCCGTGCCTCGCCTGCGCTCTCGCGTTCCAGGCAGGACACCCCGCGCCAAGGTGACCTCGACGCAGCCGTAACCCCCCCCCCCGCCCCGCCCCGCGGCCGGTGGTACCAGGCAATCTGGCTCCATCTCTAGCGCCTAGGAAAATCCTCACACCACCGGGGGGGGGGGGTGCCCTCCTCGGGCCCACAGATGGATGGGCTCTTGCTCGCGGCCTCTGCGCGAGGCCTGGCCCCGTTCCGGGCAGGTGGGCCGCCGCCTCGCGGCGATTCGCGTTGCCCCGAGCCGTTCGCCGCCCGCGCCGCCCTCCGGCTCCGGAAACAAACAACCACCCCCGGACCCGACCCGGCGGACACTTCCAGCCCCGGCTCGGGCCTGGGCATTCGGACGATCGGGGGCTCCGGGCGATCTTGGCAGACGGATTCGGCTCCCCCTCCGGCGGTTTGCGCCCCGACTGATGCACGCGTTTGCCCACACCCACAGGTTGAAACCGACTCGATCTCGCCTCCGCTGCACGGCGCCGCCGTGCGGCGCTCGGTGCGTGCATATGTAGGTGCCTGCTTCCTCCCTCGTGCGTGGTGACCATGCCATTCCCTGTTCCGGGGCCGCGACGCGGACCAACCGTGCCCCCCTGGCTCGATCGCCGCCCGGGGGCAAATCAACCGCCGGGGGCCAGCCCGTCGGCGAGTCTGTGTGCCTGTTTGCCTGCCTCTCCATCGGCGTGCATGTGTGCGTGTGTGTACCTGAATGGTGTAGGTGGCGGGGGCGCTTTCCCTGAACACACCCACACCCACACCCCCCTGCGAGCCCCTGTCCTGCCCCTCGGGTATCAGTGGCCTCGCCGTGCCCGCCGCTTGAGGCCGATAGCCCCCCTGGGAGGAAGGCGGCTGCGGGCTGCCCGCCTCGCCCCCGAAACACGCGAGCGCCGTGGGCCACACCGGCTTTCCCCGCCACCCGCCGGTCGGCCCTTGCTACTTCGCGTGCGCGCCCCCTGCGGCCGAAGCCAGCGCGCCTCGCCAACTCCCTCACGGGGGACGCCAGATCGCCCGGTTGTCGGCCACCGACAGGCCCGCCAGCCAGCCCATCATGGGCAGCAGCCATGTTGCCAGCTCAAGCGCCGGCGTCCCGCGCCGTTGTCTCCGTGCCGTGGATTACAACCCACCATACTTCCTCCCCCATGTCGCGCGCCTCCTGCCCCCAACACTCCTGCCCGTGCTCCCCTCCACGCGCTTCAACCTTCCTTTGCCCTCCCCGCCCCCTTTATTGCAGCACACAATGGCCCTGCAGCATCCTCTGGCTGGCCTGCTGAGCCGGGCCGCCGCAGCAGCCACTGTCACCGCGGTCGCTGCCTCGGTTGGCCAGTCAGGCAGTGGCTCCGGCCCCAAGGATTACTCCCCGCCCGGGTTTGATCCCATGGAGGCGGTCAACTTCCACCCGTTGGAGATAGCCGTCACCTGCTTTGTGACACTGATTGTCCTTCTGGTCGGAGCTGTGGTCTTCTATGTGTGGTGGCACCGGAACTGGACCCCTTTCAAGGCCAAGCAAATCAATCTCATCATCGCCATGTATATCGGTACGCGGGTGCTTCCCCCCCCCCCCCCCCCCCCCCCCCCCCCCCCCCCCCCCCCCCCCCCCCCCCCCCCCCCCCCCCCCCCCCTGATCCCGTCCCGGGCCCATCATGCAGGCACACT